TATCATATTGAGAAAACTTTGTGGAGTGGTTGTCTAATCTAATTTCTGACATATTTCCACATGCAGAAGTATGAGGGCTATCCGTCTGGATCAATGGTTGACTTTGCATGTGATGCAGATGGATCTCCAATATTAGCAGTCAGCAGCCTGGCCGTTCATATGAAGGTTTTTTTTTTTTTTCTTCTTTAAATTTTAACTAGTATTTTGATGAATTGCTAGGCTCAGAATTGACAATGTACTTCACCTTACCCTCAAAGGAAAACATGGAAGAAGAGGGATAAGATAATATGTAATATCACTTGCTACACTAACGTATGGATATGAGAAATTCTCTCTTTTGAGTGATATGATGTGTAGGGCTTTTAAAAATGATATTTTTATCTATCAGACTTTAACAAGATTTAATGAAGCCATTGATGATAGCTAAGGAGGGTCAGCTGAATGCTTTCCAGAGTAAAGTTAGTTGCTTGGTCTAAATAATAATTGAAACTATCCTTCTGTATTCAAATTGCATTTTGAGTGGGTTGAAATCATTTAGCTAGACTGATCCTTCTAAGTTTTAATATCTTTTTGGCATATAATTACCTTCCCTTATTTGCCCTTGTTACTTTAAGTTTTCTGGTTAAGGTGTTTTCCTCTCTTTATGGTTGAGAGCAACTAGCCCCTTTAGTGCAATAAATTTTTTGAAAACTTGCTGCCTTGCACAGGACCTATCAGCTAATCCCAAATGTTCGTTGCTTGTCCCAAGAGATCCTGAGGATAGGACAGATTTAGTGATCACCCTGCATGGTGATGCTGTTGCGGTAAGATCTTATTACTTACCTATTTTCTGCTGGATGTTTCTTGTTTTAAACTTGTTTTGAGCTATAAATAAGTTTTGCCCTGTCATGAATGTTATTCTCTATATCATAAATATTTCTAATTTCTATTTTGATCAATTATTTAATCACTTTAGGTTTCTGAGAAAGATCAAGCAGCAGTTCGAGATGCTTATTTGGCTAAGCATCCAAATGCATTTTGGGTAACTTCTGTTCTGTCTTTAATTCTCTAAAATTAATCTCTCCAGGTATAATCTTGTCAACTAATCTACTCAATATAAAGAACTAAACAACCTATGCTTCCAAAATGAAGGTTGACTTTGGTGACTTCCAATTTATGCGCATTGAACCAAAGGCAGTGAGATATGTTTCCGGAGTAGCAACAGCCTTACTTGGATCAGGAGGTTTGTTCTCTATACAGAGTTTTCCTGAACCATGACATGCAGTTTTTCCACTCTTCTATCTTTTCTAGCTAATATCTATGTTTCCTAGCTTTACTTATATGACGCATACCTAGATGCTTTGGCAGTGAATATCTATATTTACTGGCTTTACTTAGATGAGGCATGCATATATGTTTTAGCTGCTGTCCTCTTGTGTTTTTTGTTTAGTTTTAAGTTTCTCATGAATTTTTTCTTTGATTATGCCATTCCTCTTCTGAGTACCTTTTCCTATATTTTTCTACTTTCTAGAGTTCAGCAAAGAGGAATACCAAGCTTCAAAAGTTGATCCAATTGCTCAGTTCTCTAAACCTGTTGCGGTATTTTGACCATTCATTAAGTTCTTCCCCACTGTATGCTTCATCTGTGTTTTGAAGTTTGAACTAACATCTTTCTTTGTCAGTCTCACATGAACAGGGATCATGCGGATGACACAAAGCTCATTGTCCAGCACTCTACATCAATCCTGGTAATCAATCATCTCATCTGGTTTAGGTTGAAAATAATGCTTTATATATTTTGTTTTTCAATTACTTTTGCTTGATTACTGATTATGTCTCTCTTCCCCTTCTTTTTTTTTTTTTTTACCTTTCCAGGTGGAGTCTGCTTATATGCTGGATTTAGATAGTCTTGGATTCAATGTCAAGGTACTGAATATGCTTAACCATTGTTGAGGGATCTTTTTGATTACTCCTTGATGCTTTTGGCAAAACCCATATTTTTATATTAGCTGTACAATACAGAGGTTGTAATGAAAGTCTGCTGTTTGTGTTTTGTTGGCTTGAATGAAATGCGACTTTTGCATTATTGCTTTATTAGTTAACTACAATAACTCAAAGTCTTGTTCTTTTTCATGTATAAAATCATCTTAACCCATTTTTTATTTCCATGCCAGGCTGGTTATCAAGGAAATACTTTTAAGCTTCGAATCCCTTTCCCTAGACGTGCAGAAGATAGAAAGTAAGACATTCTATGAAGTACTTTGTTATCCCTCGTTCAATTTGCATTGAACTTTTTATCCTTTTACTAACAATTTCATCTGCTCTGAGATTTTTATCTCAGTAAATTTTCAATAGTGAAAATAAAAATGTGATGATTTGTGGCTTTGCCTGTGTTTTTGAATATAATAATTGTAGTAAAAGATGATTATTTGAAGAATAAACTATGTGATTTTTCACCATATTGGATGCGTTATAAAGTCTTGAAATTTTTTGCACCACTTAGGGATGTGAAGACTCTAATAGTGGACATGCTTCAAGCTGCAAAATCTCAAGTTAACTAACAGTGCAGCTAAAGACTCCCAAGAGGTGACCTTTTCCAACTTTATGGTAAATGTGCTCTTTCAACTGCATTTTCTCCTTTCCTGAAAATAATTAGGAGCTTTAGGCTCCGTTTAGTATGGGTTGTAGTTTTTGGTTTTTATAAATTTTACAAACTCAATAAAAAACTCGTTTACTTTCATGTGTTTTTGCAACATATTATCATGATTATTAAACAAGTTTATGTTTTTTGTTGTTAGTGGTAAAACTCATCTTAACAAATTGTTAGTTTTTGATATGGGTTTCTGCATTTTGGTTAATTTATCTAGACGTAGAACCAGGAATAAATGAGAATTGAACAGAAGAAGTTTGGTTTTTGTAAGTGATAATCTCAATTAATCAAAAACTATTCTCAAAGTTGTAACAAAACTACCTGTAGGGTCTGTAAACATAGGTCCAAACTAAATAAAACAGTGATAATAAGAGTCCCTAAAATTTATAGAAGTGATGCATATGTCCAAGGTACTAAACTAGCCCTTGAATTTCCTACGAAGATAAACCTATGTGAAAGCTTTAAGTGGTGTTTCATCATTAGTGTAGCAAAGTTTATTTCCTCTATTACTATTTGTATCAAGTTCCCATCAATTATAATTGCCTGCAGTTCCAAAATTACGACTAATGCCTTCTAGAAGCTATATTATTGTAGAACATTCAAACTTGCCATGGCCTCCCAAAAATCAGTAGCAACATTCCTAATCAATTCCCATTATAGATCATGGGCAATAATAATAATAATAATAATTCCAGCTCTTCAATTTAAACTTTCTGATGTTTGTGTGCTCCTAATTGTGATGTGCTATCTGTGTGCGGGAAGCCATTATCCAAAACTTAACATGTTTTTTCTTGGCTTTGCAGGATCATATATTACATTCAGATCAAATACCTCATCGTGTGAAAATGATAAAGATGGAAGAGTTTAGAAAACATGAAATTAAAGATGAAATTGCAAAGAAAACAGCTGGGATACATGGCTCTGTTCCTCCTCTCTTATTTGCGTAAGTACTCTTGTTACAAAACCATTAAATCATATTCAATGATGAACAATTTGATAGTTGGAATCATGAGACATGAAGGCATACGGTGATTTCCCATGTTCTACTTTCTTCTGTTATTCTTTCTTTCCGTTTTATTTTTCTTGCAATATGTTTGGATAGAAGAGAACGGAAGGAGAGGAGGAAAGGGGAATTTTATCCTTCATCTCCTTCTCTTTTACTTAATTAAATAAATTAAAAGAAAAAATAAAGTAAAAAACTTGTTTTTTTTTTCTTCTAATTATTTTGGTAACTAAATAAAAAAGTTTTTTTTTCCTTTATTTTTTCAATTTAAACATATTGTTAATGCCAAATCGATTCTAGAACTGATTCCATGAGTGTGATGCGAGGTTTGTTAGCAATAATTCTAGAAACAAAACGGAGTGCATTGAAGCACATTGGAATTCTTTCTCATCTATATCTTATGAGAACTCGAAGAGAAATGGTGCATATAAGGGTGTGAATTTTACTCTTTTTTTTATTTAAAGATATTAGTTTTATTAATTTTTAAATAAAGATATTAATTTTTAATTTTTTTTATTTAAAAATGTTAAATTTTATTTTTTTAAAGATGCTAACTTTTAATATTTCAGTTAAAAAATTTATTTATTATGTTATTATTATCATTTAATTAATCTTTAAATAAAAAAATTAAAAATTAATATGTTTAAATAAAAAATTTAAAATTAACATTTTTATTTAAAATTTAATAAAATTAATATTTTTAAATAAAAAAATTTTAAATTAACATCATTATTTATCACTCTTCTCGAGGACTTGAATCTTATAATGCAATAAGTAAATTCAAGCAATTTTGGTTGCCTACCAAGTATCTTTAATTTCTTTTTCATTTTTAATAATAATAAAAAAAGAACAGTTCATTATAAGATTCAAGTGCTAGGACTAAATGACATTAGTCCTAGAAAAGTGTTAGGACTAAATGACATTAATCATTAAAAAGTGTATTTTTCCCTCTCTTTTGTAGGTTTCGAATCCGTTGTCTCATGTTACAAAGTTAAAAAAAAAACAACAAAAAAAAACAGTTCTCTGAAATTCAATCAGGGAAGTACTGACAAGCTGAAAGATACCAATTCCGGTTCGCAGAGACTTTTATCATCTTAGAGATTTTGCCAATCCAACCATAGATCTAGATCTCAACTACAACTTATTGCAGGCAGCATCTCTATGCTTTCCCTTTGAGTACTTGCACGTTCAGATGCTAAACGTACTTCTGTGACTGTCTCAATTGAGTACTTCTCTACAATCATTCATGGCTCACACAATCGGACCTTTACAAATAAATTTACCAATGCCAAGAAAAAGACAAAATAATAATAATTGTAAGAGAACAGAAACACGGTACACTATTGTAATTTTGTTAAGGATACTAAAATTATTAAAATTTTACTTTAATTTAATTATTAAAAAAATTTATATTTGTTATTTAATAAATTAATTTATTAATAAATATTTTTAAATATCATAATTAATAATTTAAAAAAACGCCTATAACAAATAGTCTTAAAATTAGTGGGGTCATAACTTCACCCTAATTTAACCTACTATATATTTGAAAGGGTTTTGCACTGTACCGTAGAAATCAATAACACAGACTAAGAACTCCTTGAATGAATATTGTGCAATCTGCATTATAAAACGAATTCTTCTTCTAATTATCATAGCAAAAAATAAAAAATAAAAAGTTGAGATAATTTTAGATGGAGGCTAGAAAACTAATAATTTTCATTTCAAAGAAAGGAAATTTTACTTATATATACATCAAACAAACAAACAAACATAGCAGAGACCTTTGGTTTCCTTTCTATTTTCAATTTTCTCCTCAAAGATCAACTCTACCCACTTCATTCATACCCATCAAATTCCAAAAAGGAAAAAGGAAGAAAAAGAAAAAATCCAAAGCTTCTGCTGAATCTTATAACATCTGCTATTCTGAATCACTGTCCATACTCCCCATGGCCTTCAATCCTCTTGCTCTCTGCCTCAATCAAACCCAAAACCCCATCAGGAAAAAAGAAAAAAAAAACATTAATTATAAAAAAAATGAAATATTTTAATTTCTCCAAATTTAAAACTGAGATTAAAAAATAAACCACTTAAAAATGATTGAGAAAATCTAGAGATGAAAAGAGAATAAGATATTTTTACCTTCTTAGAACTTTTCTTTTCCCTAACTTCATACCTCTCTTGGCACATATCAGTCAACCATGCCCCAGGGCTCACCAACTGCCAACAACCAAAAGCAAATGTCAAATTGGATACCAAATTAATTTTTAAAAATTAAATATAGAAGATATATAAATTATTTTCCTCAATTCCAACAAAATTTAAAAGAAAAAGAAAAACCCACAAGGTTTTCAATCATTGGACATATAAAACAATGCAATACCCAAATAGAAAAACATTCTTTTCCTATCTTGAGTCATTCAATTATTGAGAGTTAGAAACAGATCTAGCATGGAATTACTAGATCTTGGCCCAAAAAATAATTTCTTTTTTTTTTTTTGAGAAGACCCAAAAAAAAAAAAAAAAAAAAACCCAGAAAATCCTTCAATTAATGGAAATTGAAAAACTTCTGCAATTGCCAACCCCAGTAAGTAGACCATTCTTTCTCATAGAAAATCCTCCAATCATTGAGGCTTAAGCACAAATCTAGATAGGGTTTACTCACAAGTAAGCTCCTTTGGATGATTTTGGCTCTCTTTTTAGGCCTTTGAGGAGGTTTGCACCCCTTCATCGCCATGAAATCCTCCTCTTTCTCTTTGCTTGATAAAGTTATATAAAGCTTAGGCCAAACATGCGCTTTGCTTTCCTCTCCGTGGTTGCTCTCAACTGACACCTTCCCATTCTCATCCAGCATCCCCAAAGCTGATCCTCTCGTTGTGTAGTACCTATCCTCCTTCTCCGGTGACAAGGATGAAGCTTTCCGGTTGTCTCCTCCGCCTGACCGGAGCACAGCCCCTTCTGAGTTCCTGTAACCAAACAAACACCCCAGAATGAGAATTTGTATAAAATTCTTAACAATCTATTCGGCTGTTGTAAAGATAGATGTTAAGCTTTTAATGCACAACTTTTTAAAATGGATAATTCAGTTTCTTCAGTTTTCACCCATTTTCTCAGGAAACAATCAAAAGGGTAATTTGCCTCAACTCCCCTGATCCTTTTCTTTTTCCCCTATACTTTCTCGGAAACCAAACAAATTAGACCAAGAACTGCCCAGAAGAAAAAACAAAAATCTATCAAATTCTCCTTTTCTTTTCTCTCTCTCTCTCTCTCTCTCTCTCTCTCTCTCTCTCTCTCTCTCTCTCTCTCTTTTCAATTTTTACCTGGTGAGTCGATTATTCGATTGAGAGATGGGAGAGAATTCTCTGTCAAAGAAGCGAGATGCGATTCTCCTTCGAATTACACCGCTAGATTTCTGTGAGATTTGAGGGTCTTTGACTCTAACACATCTTAGTCTCTTCCTGTTTCCCCACTGTAGAAAAATCTCTGGCTCCAGAGATTTACATGTTCTCAGATTATTCTCTTCTTTATCCATCTATTCCACCGCAAAACAAATCAGGAGTCAAGAAAAAGATAGAAATTTTTACACACAAAATCGAAGAGAAGAAAGAAATCTTAGTTGAAACCATCTCCGTTGGGCTTTCTAATTTTGGCTCTAGCGAGAACCAGAACTGAAAATCTAAAAACTGGGAAAATTTAAGCAGAATTAGGACAAAGAAATTGAAATTTTGGGGAACCCATCTGAGTTTACAGGGGGAATCGAAAGACCCAGAAGTGAAAACCAGAGAAATGAAGAAATCGGAGTTGAAAAAGAGAAGGGAAATGGAGTTTTTATAGAGACCCACTTGGGATTTTCAAAACTGAAAGAACTGGAAGAAGATCCATGAGAGGAGAAACAAGAACAGAAATGAAAATCCAGTTTCAAAGAATCAAAGACTCACCCCAAAGATCTATAACCGCAACAGAGAAATCCAAACAAAATCCACTCCAGAAAAACCAATCTGCAAATTCCAAAGAAAAAAGAGTAAAAAAAAAAAACTGACTGGTTATGAAATACAGAACAGAGAAGAGGAGAGCTGAAAATGGAAAAAAAAAGAAGAGGAAGAAGAAGAAAACTTACAATGGAAAATTCAATCCCGGAGAAACAAGAAATGGAAAAGGAAGAAAATTTGAGATTAAACAGATGAATTTCTGCAAATAAACAGGAACCCAGATCCTTGCTTCTGCAAGTTATTGCTCTAATTCCGAGTCCAATTAAGAAGATGTTGGATTTTGCTGGTTTTTATCTTTGGAGTCTGTTCCGTTTCTCTCCTCTTCCCCTCAACTCATTCTTTATCTGCGACTTAAAAAGAAAAAAATACAGAAAAACTGGAGACATTCTTCACCGTCGGATTATGAGTTACGGTTTGATCAAGAATTGGGTCCTTGTTTGATTTGGATATCTTTTTATGGGAT